TCTTCTTTAGCTGTGGTGAGGAGATGTGAGGGCTTTGTACAGAGGAGACTTGAAGCGGCCTCCTTTCTGGGATCTTCCCGGAAACTCCCTACACCCTGCACCCGAGCTGGAGACAGCTGTAGATGGGCCAGTGGATTCTTCCAGTGCTGGAACTTCTGACTTGTTGAAACCTCCAAGTCAGTCTGAACTCAGGAGGCTCCTTCAAGCCTGTGCATGCAGGACTTCAGATTCGCAACTCCCTCACCCTCTGTTTTAAATGCTATTCTGCATAAATGTCTAGATTTTTTTTCCCTCTTCCTGACTAGACTTTAACTGCTACCTCGGGTCTAATGCATTGCTAGTGAGGGAAATGTCAGCCAGCCTTGTTGAAAGGGAAACCGAGGTGAATGTGGCCACTGCCTGGGGTTCCTGCCCACAGCTCCTCTGCCCACTGCAGGCACACAGTACAGCATATCCTCTTTCCCTGCCCCTCCAGGACAGTGCCACGGCTCTGACAGAGCATCCTCAGGGAAAGGTCCAGAGGCAGAAAAGCACAACCCGTTCCTTCCTGTGAGGCTCCTTCACCAGCAAGGAAAACCTTTCACTGCAGACGCTTTCATGCCTCCTTGACCAGAACTGAGCTGATTTATATCTATTTTACCTATCACAAAATCACAAACTACCCCAAAGTTTAGTAGCCTCCTAGTGGTCCCCAACCTTTTTGGCACCAGGGACCGATTTCGTGGAAGACAATTTTTCCAGGGACCAGGGACAGGGGATGGTTTTGGGATGATTCAAACATGTTACCTTTATTGTGCACTTTATTTCTATTATTATTACATTGTAATATATAATGAAATAGTTATACAACTCACCATCATGTAGAATCAGTGGGAGCCCTGAGCTTGTTTTCCTGCAACTAGATAATCCCATCTGTGGGTGATGGGAGACAGTGACCGATCATCAGGCATTAGATTCTCATAAGGAGCCTGCAGCCTAGATCCCTCACATGCACAGTTCACAATAGGGTTCGTGCTCCTATGAGAATCTAATGCTGCTGCTGATCTGACAGGAGGCTGAGCTCAGGTTGTAATGTGAGCAACAGCGAGCAGCTGTAAATACAGATGCGGCTTCACTTGCTCCCCCGCTGCTCACATCCTGCTATGCGGCCTGGTTCCTAACAGGGCACAGACTGGTATCAGCCAACTGCGTGGGGGCTGGGGACAGCTGGCTTAAACAAAAGCAGTTCATAATTCTGCAGGGCAGCTATCTGGGCAGTTCTGTGCTGCTCTTATCTCTTTCTCTATCTCTGTCTTATCTAGCATTTCCTGGGTTTCTCTTTCTCTCTCTCTCTCTCTCTCTGTCTGGCATAATTTAGGTATTAAGAGCTGCTGTATTACCATAAATTTAGTAGTTTAAATTAAAAAAAAGTTAGGTCAGGAGTCCAGTGTGGGTCTCACAGAGCTCAAATGGAAGTAGCAGCAGGGCTCTGTGCCCTTCTGAAGGCTCCAGGCGAGAGGGAACCTGCTCCGTGCCTCTGCCAGCTTCTGGAAGCAGCTGCTTTCCTTGGCTCCTGGCCCCACTCCATCTCTAAGTCCGCAGCATGGCACTGGCCTGAACCTTCTTCCCTCTTCAGATCTCCTGCTCACTCCACTCTGCCTCTCTCATCCACTTTAAAGACTCTGGGATTACACTAGGCAAACTTGAATAATCCAGGCTAAACTAATCTCTCCACCTCAAGGTCCTTAACCTTAGTCACATGTGCAACTTTCTTTTTGTCATGAAAAGTCATATATTTACAGGTTGCAGGGATTAGGATATGGATGTTCTTGGGAGGGTCATTATTCTGCCTACCACACCAGCCAGATACAAATTAATTTCCTTTCTTCTTCCCAAAAGCATTGACTCAGGCTTATTCAAAGCCCTAGTGCTTGGCACAGAAATAAGCGGAATTATCTGGGAAAATCCACTCATTCAAGGTGTTTACTGCTCTGGTTGGAGGACTGCTGGAAAGACACTTTGAAGGAGAAATCATGAAAAATAAAGCTAGAAGAAAAAATATTCAACTAAAGTTAAACAATATACACACATTTAATATGTTATCAACTAAAGATACCAATTCATTAAAATATTTTTTGTTCAAATGCCTTTAGACTTTTTCCTTTCTAATAATGGTATTCTGGGCTTCCATGGGTTTCCAAATGTTAGGATCCACAGGCACCATACAAGAAAAGGAGAAATAAGATGAAAACAAAGTTGGGTTAAAGTCCATGATTACGTATGCAGAGTGAGTTATATTTTATACCTTTGACTTATTTTAAGTCATTTTACCAAGATCCCATTTACTTAAATTTTCTCTGCTATTGCGATCACATTTCCTCTTCTCCCGTTCTTTAATTTATGCATATTGATTTCTCTAGGGACCTTTTCAATTCTTCCTTCTTGTATTGTTTCTCTTCTTCATTCTGAGCACCAGCATGCCCTTCTCTTGCTTAATTTCCTCTCAGAGGAGCCATTCCTCCACTTCAGTGCCCTCAATAAAAAGCTGCAATGTCCTCAAAGTTCAAAGTTGCATCACGGGCATAATTTTCCTTGTAGTCCAACTGTGTAATCAGATTGTTCCTTCACCAACATTGATCAGGTTTCAGATGTGCGCATAAATGAGCTGAAACTCTTAATTTTCCTGCATTTATTAAAACCAGAAACTGAAATATCTACCATTTTTAACTAGAAAACTAAAATCTTGTCTTACACATTGATATCCAGGACACACATCATTCATGGAAGCCACTCCCCCAGCACAGAGGCTCCACCTTGATGCCATCTTTGGCTTGTCCTTTTTACGCTTCATCTTCAACCACCAAGTCCTGAAGAGTCTCCATGAAAATATTTGTAAGAGTGACCTCTGCCTCTCCACCTCCATTCTCACCACTCCCAGCTCTCAAAGAATCCATTATGGAGCCAGAGATTCACCTTCTCCTAACTCATCCTACAACAGCTTTCCCTCAGGTCCACATTCTGAAAGAATGCTTTCAGAGTAACAGTACTGACAGACAGATGCCCCACAAACCGTCTCACTTAATGCTCTGATGATTCACATGCCAGGTTGTGACTATTGGATGGTTGCTATGTGTCTGACACTCTCTAATGCTTTATACGTTTCATTCATTTAACTGTTTTAAAAATATTAGAGAGCAGGAATTGCTACTATTTTCATGCTACATTTGAGGAAACTGAGGCACCGAGTGGTTAAGTAATTTTCCCAATGTCCTCCCTCACCCTCTAGGTAGCAAAGGGAGGATTTCAACCCAGGTATCTGACTAGACCCACACTTTTAATCTCAACACCCCACAGCCCACCCATGGGAGTTATTTTCCCCCTACTCAACACATAATAAAATGAGCATCACAGCAGTCAGGAAGCCAGCTACAGTTCTGTGGGTAAGTGATTCCTTTTAAGATACCCCTTGAGTCAGAAATGTAAATTAACCAACTGACTCCCTAAGGTAATGATTCCCAAAGTGCACCCTCCAATTGCCACTGAAATCTCGGAAAATGTTCATTATGTGGATAAACAGGATTAGGAAATTCTACACACTTTATTCCCATTTTGTAGACACAGAAATCACTCAACACAGCACATTAAAAGCTCTGGTAAGTTCAACAGCAAAGAAGTTTATCAAGTTTCGTTTAACCCACTGTTTCTCAAACTACACTGGTCTACAAATAATGTCATTTTATTCAATGACATTTCACTGTAATGTTGATGAGAAAAAAAAATTGATGCCTGGCTGAGGCCACTGTCCTTGTGGAGTTTGCATGTTCTTTCCATGTCTGCATGGGTTTCACGTATTCCAGCTTCCCCCCACATCCCATAGCTGTGCAGGTTAGGTTCCTTGGCATGTCTAAATGGTCCCAGTCTGGGTGAGTGTCGGTGTGTGTGAGTGCACACTGTGACGGAACGGCGTCCTGTCCACAGCTGGTTCCTGCCTTGCACCCTGAGCTGCTGGGATGGAATCTGACCTCCTAAAACCCCGAACTTAAATAATTGGGTAAATAATTATCTTGCTTGTCTTTATTCATCTTTCTTCAAAGTATGTATAGCTCACATTTATTTCAATGTTTAATATTATAAGGGTTTGGGGTCTTTATTCAGAAGTTTGGTGATGTTTTTGTGACCGGAAATATGCCATCAAAACTTAACTTTTATTTATATCAATTAGCCTATGGTAAAATTAGTTTTGTTACATGTTGTTCTACTTAAAGCCACAGTTTCCAAGAACCTATCGATGATGCTAAGTGAGAACTTACTGAACAATCGCACATCGCTGAACAGTAGGAATCCATTCTGAGAAATCTGTCATTAGGCAACCTCCTTATCGTGTGAAGATCCTAGAGCGCACTTACACAAAACTAGAAGGTGGAGCCTACCACACACCTAAGCTATATGTTACAGCCTGTTGCTTCTAGGCTACAAACATGTACAGCATGTTACTGTATGGAATACTGTAGGTAATTGCAACACAATGTAAGTATTTGTGTTTCTAAACATATCTGAACATAGAAAAGGTAGAGTTTAAATATGGTACTATAACCTTATGGAACTTACCTCAGTATGTCATATATGTAGTCTGCTGTTTTAGTCTGTCCTTATGCAGCACATGACTATAATTTTACCATGAAATTATATTTTTATATATCATTTATTAGTATATGCCATTTTTATATTTATATATAAATATAACACATTTGATATAACAATTTGATGAAAGAAATCAAAGACCAGAATAAAGGGAGACATGCCATGTTCATGGATAGAAAGACTCAAATGGTAAAGATAGCAACCCTTCCCGAATTTACCTATAGGTTTAATGTAATTCCTATCAATGTTTATATTGGATAAAGAATTCCTTTACCCAATATTAAGGTTAAATAGTTACAATAATTACAATAGTATGTTATTGCCAGAGGAATAAATATATAAATAATTGAAACAGAACAGAGAATAGGACCACACAAATATGCCCAACAGATTTTTTAAAGGAGTTTTTGAAGATGAAGCAATTCAGTGGAACAAATGGACATCTATAGGGGAAAAAACTAAACCTTGACCTAATCCTCACACATTAGACAAAAATTGAATCAAAATGTATCACAGACTTCGGTATAAAATTTAAAAAATAAAACTTTTAGGAAAAAACTGTAATGCATACAAAAACCTACACAACTTATAAAATTATACAGAATATAATTAATGCAATTATTATCAATTCATAATACTTACACATCTTACACAACCTAATACAATACAGCTGAGTGCCCAAACACAGACAAATGAGTACAAGTGAAACTGGGAAAACCTGAATAAAGTAGATGGGCTGTATCAATGTCAATATCCTGGTTGCAATATTGTACTACATTTTATAAGATGTTACCACCGGGAGAAACTGCATAAAGGGCAAGTGGAATCTCTCTGTGTTATTTCTTATAGTTGCATGTGAATCTACAATTATCTCAATAAAATTTTCAATTAAAAAAAGAGAAGGCAATAACATATCATAAATTTTATGATTCTTTGGTGCTCAGACCAGATCCAGTGCCAGGCAGCTCCTGCCAAGAATTGGAACTGGGGACTCATTCACCTTTTAAACATGACCAGGAAGGGTATTTAATTTGAGCTTTTGAGCATTACAGTTTCAGCACTGCCTGCTTTCTCCCACCTCAAACAGATTGTAATACAGATACAGAGCACCATAGGAGTTACTAAACATTGCAGTTCTTTCTTCTCTACAACTTTTAGGAAAGTTGAGGAATTGTCTGGGCTGCATCCAGAAGGTTAGGTACTTGACTACAAGAAGTAAAAGAAGGTGACACATAACCTTATAAAGCAGCAGTGGAGCTTTGATTTTCTTCCTTATTACCCAAAATTTCATGTTGAACTTAATCTTGCTCAGTCACCCTAAAGATTTACTACGTGTTTGGCAAAGTTATGTGCTTTAAATGCTGAACAATTCCTGCTTCTTGATCCAAATTTAAAAAGTATATAACCAAATATTCATGCCAATTTTGCTCCTTGAGGTAAAGCACAGCACAGTCATGGGTTTATTCTTGTGTGTGAAAATTTTCAGGGAAATGCAAATGTAAAACTAATTATTCACCCCATTACAGAAAGGGTTTGTATGTGTGAATTCCCTCACGTACTTCTATTCCAAGAATTCTTTCTTCTCCTACTGTGCTGACATTCTATTGTTTTTCTCATGCAGTTTTTCTACTCCCAATTGAACACGTAAAAATAATTAAAAATCTAAGCTGTTGGAACTTTAAACTATTTTGAGCCTTAAAGAAATGTGATCACGAGGCCTGAGTCTTGTGGCAAGCAGCTGTGCCCTAGGCAGCCCTAACTTTTGTTCCTCTGATGATAAAGGATAGATTAGCCTTCTTTCTTACCTACATTGTTTTGTAAAATGCTGTAAAGGGCTAAAGGGTATCAGGGAAGACCCTCACCTCTTCCTGTTGATCTTCATTATAGATTAACTTCCTTCTTACCTCTCTCACACAGAAACTACATGGCTATCACACTGTTTAAGATGGAATGTTAAATATACGCTTTTAAATTAGAAAGAAAATGAAAAGCTGCACAGAAAAGAAAATGAACTATAATTGATTAAATTGTCGTAACTCGAAAACCAACCTTGACTAGAAAATGTTGTAATCCTGTTAAGTTTCTTTTTCTTCCCATATAAGTAAGACAGTTTTATCTCTGGAGTACCGACTCCATTTCTCCAGAATTTTTGATTCCCAGATGGTCATTCCCAGCTTTCTTTTAAATCAACTCTTTAAAACTAGATTCTGATTCTTTCAATTATTTCAGGTTGAAAGAAATATCTTATATTAATAACACCATCCCTTACGCTAGGGATATTTTGTTGACAATATTTACTATGCACAACCAATGACATAAATGTGTTACAAGATTTGTTTCTAACACTTTGTCTGGATTTAAAGTTTATATTGCAAGACTGCTATTTACTAATTCATTCCGTGCTTATCATGTATACACTTGATGAAATATTCTGTAATTACAAAAATAATATTAACAAACTGTTAAAAATACAAAGTTTAAATATATGCATGGAAATAAAAGACTAGGAAGAAATACACTAAATTATCTTCAGGTGGATGAGCAGGAGTGATAGATTTCCTTTTTCTCTATAATAAGCATGTTTTATTTGATAAAGGGGAAATTTAAAATAAAAGAATCTGACATTTTCCTACCACTAGAGAACTACTTTAATGAGGGATAAAATAAATAAAAATGATACCAAGATATAAATGGTGGCTGTATCTGGGTTGGCACATTAAAAGAAATCTTTATATTATTTATTCATGAATTTATGTTTATTTTACAAATTTAATATGAAAATATATTATTTTTACAATCAGACAAGAACTTTTAAATAAAAAAATGAATAATTATGTATTGTCTGGATTAATAAGTGCAGCAGTCAAATCTTATATAACCTACTATGGTGGCACAATCCATGAAAATGCAGATACTTCAGTAAATGTTCATTGAACAGAATGGGTCCTGAATGCAAGTAAGAATTAAAAGTATGTTGATGTGCTTGATTTTTAGGCAGATACAGTAATTGCTGAAGTCAGTTTCAGAGAGATAACAACGCATATAATTCAAAGCATTCCATTCAGACCAGTGATTCAGAACACACGTCCCACATAGCAGCAGAATCTCCCATTTGAGTTTGCGTCTTGTAAATGGCATAGGATGCCCTTCACAAGTTGTCCACAATGGATTTTTATGAGCTGCAGAGACTATACACTCCAGTCACATTCAGAACAGAGAATTTCACTTGGTTCCTCAAACTGTTCTCTTCCAAACTCTGTGCTTTGCATGGAAACAGGCCTTCCACGTAGGCTTAGTTCGCTTCCGCCTGCCCCTCAGGATAAGAAGAGCAGTTCGGGTGCTTGACGGGGGAACTGTCTATTGCAGCTGCAGGTGAACTCAGGTAAGCTGAAATCATCTCCTAGAGTTGCTACTGGGAGAAAGGCCTCTCATAGACTCCCCGGGCAGAAGTACACGGCAACGCCCCAATCAAAACATTTGGAAAGAGCTAACAAACTACTTGTGCATTTACGCTTTGACCCAGCAACTCCACTTCCAGGAGTTTGCTCTGAATACACACCTCCACAAATACAAAACAACACAGAAACGGGTTTTTAAAAAAACATTGTGGCATTATTTATAATCTCAAAATATTACGAATGATTTAACACCCATCCCTGGGTTGAAAACTGGTTGGATAAACTACGGTACATCCACATAATACAGCAAGGGAGAAAGATGTAGGATGGGAGGCTAGACCAGTCTCGCCTTTTCACGTTTTTCTGCCTGCTTTATAGTCACTGGAAGCTGAATAGATTGTGCCCACCAGATTCAGGGTGGGTCTGCCTTCCCAGCCACTGACTCAAATGTTGATCTCCTTTGGAAACACACTCACAGACACACCCAGGATTACTACTTTGCATCCTTCAATCCAATCAAGTTGACACTCAGTATTAACCATCACAGAACGAAAGTTGTATCTGCTTGTCCCTGGTAGTAGTACTCATGTAGTAATTCTGAAAGCATTTTGTTCAAGTTGCATATGACAGAGGAAATGAGTAGATACATTTGACTCTGGTGTTATAGGGAACCAGGGTTCTCACTATGGGTAAGAGACATACAAATATGGAATGGGGAAGGGAGAAGAACTCTGAGTTACTAGACTGAAACTGAAGTTATCTGTGGAAACATATGAATTTTAAAAATGTATGTCTAGTTCTGGCTCTGCCCACTAAAAGGGTCTAGAAGTAGCATAGCCCAGTAGCAATACTCAAACCTACCTACTTCCCATAACTTAGTTGGTAGATGCCATCTCCTACTAAACAAGCCAGGGCTCCTTGGGGAAATTGCTGATTGCAATCTGGCATGGGGAAATACAAGACCACAGTGTAATCCTTTGTGGGCACAGACAAATTCAAAGTCCTTGTGATACAGCCATCACCAAGCACCCCCTCTCCCAGGTAACCTGAGTGACAGCTGCTTCTGTTCAAGCTGCAGCTTTAGCCTCACTCTATTTCCCTACCTCCTCTCACACAGCACCCGATCCAGAACAAACTCCTCACCGCTGCAGCACCCCACTCTCTCCTAACGCAAGTGAAATCCTCACAACCAGGCCAGGTGCTACCCCACCCTTTGCCGAGTATGTGTGTGTGTGTGTGTGCGCGCACGTGCACGCATGCTCCATTGCTGTTGCAAGCATCAAAAAGCCTAACTTTGTGGTGCCTGTGGTCTTGACCGAGGGCTGTGAAGCATTCTGTATGTGTATGAGCTGAGAGGCTTTTCGTCCACGATTGTACTGAAACTCATTCCTAGGACCTCCTAGAACAACGCAGCCAGAATGGCATTTCAGAACCTCACTCCACTCTGCGCCTCTCTGCCTTGCATTGCTGCTCCTTAGAAACAACCACTCTCAGATCTTTTGGCTGCTTTTCTTATGCTACGTTTCTAAGTAATATGCTCATTCTGTTACTTCTGGAATTATCTGTTTTACACATTATTGCTTGCCTTCCTTCAGTATATTATTTCTCTTTCACAAACCAAATAAAAATTTATGCAAGCTGAGAGCGAGACAAAATGCTGATTTCCTGATTGTTTTGAAATAAAAAAGGCATTTTCCCCTAAACCTGTTTGACCCTCATCTTATACTCTTGAGGAAGGTTTTACTTTGTTCACAAAATATTTAATAATTCACAATAAATGAGGTGTTTCCTTTTACACACATCTACATTCACTTCCTCCTCCCCCCATCTTCCCAATACATGTTAATTGTGATTTTTAAAATATTTATTATCAGTGTTGACATCATTATGGCTATATAAATGCTGATCATTTCTTTCCTGAACAATTTCTTTAGCCAAACACCACCTCTTCTCTTCTCAAACATCAAAAATCCTCTTGTTCAGGCCATGGTGTCCTCGCACAATGCACCACGCTCTTGATCCCTCCTGAAAGTATCTCAACTGGATTTGTAGTAATGTACCATAGCTGGAAGGGTGTGATTCCCTGCAGACGACAAAGGATCATGGGCTCCCCTATGATGCACATGGCATACAATGAATGCTGTCTCTGCCAAGTGGTCTCAGGCACCCTGGACTGGAGTCTGGTAAAAATAGCTCTCTTATTCATCCGTCTTTGTTTGGTGGATTGATTGAGGAGAAGCTGGATTTAGATGATCTGGCCTCATTATTTAAGTACATTTGGTATTAGATACAATGTCACTCTTCTCTCTTGTATTATCAGTAGGTGAAAGATAACAGCCGACACCACTTCCATGCGGGTTATGTAGATGAGATTTTATCTTTATTTTGGAGAACTCCAAGTGTATTAATAGCATCCTATATTTGATTACGTAATTGGGCACTGAGGCTCCTTTTACTTCCACAGGATAAGGTTGAATCCATTTTCTGAGTCTAATTAATCTGAGACCTTTGAAGAGGAAGTGGGGTTGAAAGTGAAGAAGGAACCATTATTGACAGTATCCTAGGATCTATGCATTATCAGGCATATTCAATTATGCCATAATTTTCATAGGGTCAGCAGATATGAGAGCAAAACTGTTGCCCATTTAAGATTTGGAAACATTTCAGAAGAGGGGATAAACATGAACTTCTAGTGGTATATTTTATTCTTTTTTCCAGCTCAATCATTTATCTCTTCATTGTTCCTTAATTCCCATAACTTCTTTTAAAATATTTGTGGGCAAAAAGATCCAAAAATTCCTTCAAATTTCATTGAGTGATCTGTTGCAGTCCCTATACTTCCTGCTGTGACTCTTTGTCAGGAACTGTGGTTGTGTGGTTGCTGCTCTGTCAATTTGAGCAAACTGTACTTTCAGGGATAAAAGAAAATATTAACACCTGGATAATTCTGAAAGTTATTGTATGGCATGTGGAGGAAACCAAAATCCTTCTAGGGGAGGGGACTATTGAGATCTAACAGGGCTTGAGAAGTCAGTCATGGAGGAGGCAGATGAATAGCGGGCAAAAGCAGTGAGGAATTAGACAAACTGCTTCAAAGTAATCTGGAATCTTCCCAATAGAAAACTAAAGTCAAAAGAGGTAATGTGACTTCCTGGGGAAAGCACGTAGAGGAAAAAGAACTGAAGATATTCACAGTAAAACTAAACCAAATATAACACACACCAGATCATAAACCTCAAATTTCTAAGGGGTCTTTGAAAGTTCAGAAGACAGACTTTACAGTGGGTTCAGGTTCTCGGAAATGACAACTAGTTCATAGCTGAATGGAAGTAAAAGTGAAACATCACCTCTTGTCAGAAATGTTTGCAATTTAGCTATCATTCTTCAGTGAACAAGAAATAATAATATTCTTCTTCTATAAGACAGAGTACCAACCACGTGTGCTAAATAAGATCTGGAGAGTAAATTCTAGAAATTTATCAATTCTAAAATGCCAGAATAATATTAAAGCTCCACAAGACAGACACACACACACACACACATACACACACACAGACGTATTAAATTCAAATATATGAAACGTCTTATCTATATCCAAGGGAATAGATAAGCCAAGGGAAGGAAATTAGTGGCTGTTTCAGAGTACTTAGAACCTACAATTCTCCAAGTATTAAATAGAAACAGATCTGCAGTCATTTTCTTTTTAACTGAATACTTGCATTGACTTGATCTATGCCCTTAGCTCTAAGTAGGGAGGAGACAGATCTTTACTTTTCATCCAGCTGTAGAATAATGACTCATAATTCACTTGTTTCAGGAAGTGAGATTGGTGTACATGTGCAGGTTGTTCTATAGATAAATTGAGTGTCATGGTGGTTTAGTGTACATATTCTACTAAATTATTTCTCAGTTTCTCTCTGTGTTCTGCATTAAACAATATTTTATTCCTGTGCTATTCATATGTACCTGGAAGAACGAACTGGGCAGTCTTGAATCAAGCAGCATACTGAAGGGACTTGCAGGCCCTATCAGTTTATATTACCAAGGTTTGTTCTGTGAATCTGTGACATGTGAACCCATCTCTACACCATTACATAGCTTGAAAAGGTAAACTGAAGGGATTCTACAAAATCAATGAAATAAAAAAACTACAAAATCAATGAAATAAAAAGTACGAGTGACTACTTTTAGAGTTCACAGTTTAAAAGGAAAAGAGAAACTTCCACTGTGAGTACACACACGTCAACTCTCACCTAGAGATGAGCAGCTCCTGCAGACGTGGGGATGGGACACACGGTCAGCACATCTGGGTCATAGGCCACCCCTGTAGCCACTGGAATTACTATGGGAGGAGAGAGAAGGAATTTTTTAGACATAAGGGTGCTGAGACGATCAAAACAAAAGGCGTTCTGCAGACACACTATCGATGGAGGTTGGAATGCTATTCAGTCTTACTGGCCTGGAATTTTCGAAAGGCAAATATTGCAAGTCCTTCCTACAAACCCGTATGCCCCCGGCTTCCTATTCACCCTACCTACATAGCAGTTCTATTGTCCATCATAACAATGGCTCACCAAAATGTACCTCTAATTCTCATACGCATATTTCAGTACCTCCCTGCATGGCATAATTAGGCAGCAATTAGAAGAAACTTTGGAATATAAATTGGTATTATTTTCTAACAGCAATTTTACTGAGTTGTATTTTTTTTCTTTGTTCCTCAGGTGTACAGATACGGTTTACTCACAAGTCTTGAGGACATATTTCCATCACCGATTCATACAGGGTCTGTTTTAGTTAATTAATTACTTAATTGATTATTGAAAATAGTATAACAAGTACCATGAACCCGTTACCCTAAACAAAAACCAGGATCTTGGTGCAACCTACATTTCTTGTGTTCTCCCCACGTCAGAACATCCCACTGCTCTTCCCCTGCTAACGTCACCATCACCCCCTTCATTTGCCTTTTTATGTAGTTTTTGTGCATGTATATGTGGTGAAATTTTGTTGTTGTTGTTATTATTGTTTCAGTTTTCATCTCTATGAAAACAGTATATAAATATTTAAGACACATTTTTCATCACTGAATATTCTACTATTAACAGTGGCGGGAGTGAGATGGCAGAATAGGAACCTCCTTTCCTCCGTACTCCCCCACAAGATTCAACAACTATGCATGGATGAATTTCTTTTGAGAATTCCAGAGTCTAGTTGAGAGACTCCTGTACCCTGAGCAAGCATGAAACCAGCAGTCTTGAAGTCAGTAGAAAAACTGGTGGCACCCAAGCTCCATAATCCTTTCTCTGGCACCTCCCACATGATTGGGAGGAAGCCCCAGGTCATAACTTCTCCCAGGGGAGGGAAGCGAGGGACTTGACCATGTGTCTCATGTTCTGACATTCTGGGGGGGGGCAGGCTTCCCAAGGGACTCATTTCTGTCTTGCCTGAATCTGAGAGTTGACAGAAACAACCCTAGGTCGGGAGCCACTGAGAACAAAGGACACAGTTGACACTAGTATGCACTCACCAGTCATACTTTCTGCAGCCCAGCACAGAACAAGAGGGGGAATCCCCAAATCCTGAGTTCTCCCTGGCGTGGGACAGAGCTGCAGCAAGTGTCCGATGTTCTGGACTTTCCGGGGCTGCCTGGAGGACTGGCTCTGGATCAGTTGTCCTGGAGGAGGGACAGGTTTGGCATGTTCTAGATGCCTGAGGCTGTTGAGAACAAAGCCACCATCTGGACAAGCACACATTCACTGCCAGAGCCCCTCACCTGTGCTCAGTGTTTCTGTTCATCTGTATCGTTCCAACAAAGCACCTTAGACTGCGGAATTTATATAAACCCAGAAACTTATTTCTCACATTTCTGGAGGCTGAGAAGTCCAAGATGAAGGAACTGGCAGATCCAGTGTCTGGTGAGGCTCGTGTGTTGCTTCCAAGAACTCTCTGCCTTATTGCTGGGTCCTTACACAGCAGAAGCCAGGAGGACAAAATGCACCCCAGGCACTCCCTTCAACCTCTTTTATAAGAGCAGCAATCCATTCATAAGAACAAGCCCTAATGCCTTCATCACTTCGGAAAAGGCCTCACTTCTTAACACTGTCACGTTGGGCATTAGGTTCCAACACATGAATTTTGGAAGGCCACATATATTGAACCGATAGCATTCCACCCCCAATTTTGGCTCCCCAAAATTCATGTCCTTCTCACAAAGGACAAAAAAATGCATTCATTTATCACAAAAGCCCCCAAAGTCTTAACTTGTTCTAGCACTTACTTTAAAGTCTAAAGTCTCATCTAAATATTGTCTAAATCAGATAATGGTTGACACCCGACGTACGATTTATTTTTTTTATTTTATTATTATTATTTTTTGAGATGGAGTCTTGCTCTGTCAACCAGGCTGGAGTGCAGTGGCGCGAGCTCGGCTCACTGCAACCTCTGCCTCAGGGTTCAAGCAATTCTACTGCCTCAGCATCCCGAGTGGCTGGGATTATAGGTGTAAGCCACCGTGACCAGCCAACGTACAGTTTATTCTGAGGCAAGTTCCTCTTAAGTTGTAAGACTGTGGAACCACACAACCATACATGTTTCCAAAATACAATGGTGGGACAGATGTAAGATAGATATTCTCATTCCAAAAGCAAGAAATAAAAAGGAAGAAAGGGGTAACTGGTACCAAATTAAGTCCAAAACCTAACAGGGCAAACCAACATTAAATCTTAAGGCTTCAGAACAATTTTATTTGACTCAGCGTTCTGCCTTCCAGACATACTGGGGCAAGGGTTGGGCCCCCAGGTCTGGGCAGCCCCACTCCCATGGCTTTGCTAGGTGCAACCCACATGGCAGCTCTTACACATTGCAGTTGCAAGCCTATAGCTCTCCCAGGCTGGAGTGGTCTGCTGGTGGTGCTACAGTTCTGGGGTCTCAGAGATGGCCCAACCACATGGCCCTGCTGGCCATTGCCCTGATAGGGGGCTCTCTGTGGCTACACATGCCTGTGACAGTTCTTCTTGTGGGCCCTGAGGTTCTCTGAGGTAACTTTTGAGAGCTAGAAAGCCATGTCTCCACAACTTGCGTACTCTTATGTGCCTACATGTGGACATTGCCAAGGTTTATCACTTATACCCTCCAGAGTGGTGGCCCAAGCTGTACCTGGGCCCACTTGGCCACAGCAGGGAGCTAAGGAACTCTGTGCTGGAATGCCTGGAGCAGAGACTTGAGGTGACTATGGGTAGTGAGCCCTGAGGTCCCAAAGGTACCCAGGCTCTTCCCTTAAAACCATTCTGCTCTCAAGGTCATGGCACTCTGGCCATGATCTCCAGAATGCTTTTGGGGTTATCCTTTCATTGTCCTGATGAATAGCATGCGGCTCCTTTCTATCCATCCTCATCTCCTGACAGTCACTGGGACACACCCCCTGGAGAGAACTTCAATTCTCTACAGAACATGTCTATTCTTTACAAGTTGGCCAGGCTGAGAATTTTTCAACTCTTAAGTTCTGCTTCCTTTTACATTAGAAATTCCATCTTTAATTCATTTCTCTCTTCTTACATTTTACTGCAGTCAAAAAAGCCATGCCACACCCTCAATACTTTGCTTAGAGATTTCTTCGGTCAGATATCCTATTTCATTGCTTTTAAGTTCTGACTTTCACAAAGTACTGGGACACAGAACCAATTCAGCCAAGTTCTTTGCCACTTTGTAACAAGGATGGCCTTCCCTCCAGTTTCCATTAACACATCCCGCATTTCTGTCTAAGACCTCATCAGAAGCACCTTTACTTGACTGAGTATGGTGGCTCGTGCTTGTAATCTCAGCACTTTCAGAGGCCAAGACGGGAGAATTGCTTGAGGCCAGGAGTTCCAGACCAGCCTGGACAACAAGGTGAGCCCTCATCTCTACAAAAAAAATTTTTAAATTAGGTAAGTGCTAATTTTAAATTAGCATATATAGTCCCAGCTCCTTGGAAGGCTGAGGCAGGAGGATCACTTGAGCCCAGGAATTCAAGATTAGTCAGCTGTGATCTCACCAATGCACTCCAACCTGGGTGACAGAGTGAGAACCCTGTCTCAAATAAATAAATAAACACCTTTACTGTTCATATTTTTACCTATATTCTGATCATAACCACTTAATCTCCAAGAAGACTGAGACTCTTCCTACAGCTCTGCTTTTCTGATTTCCCTCCAGAATCCCCCTCTAAAGTCCCCGCATGGCAATATGGGCTTTTTCTAGTCTGCTCCAGCTTCCACTCATTACCCAGTTTCAAAATTGCCTCCACATTTTTGGATATCTGTTATAGCCACACCCTACTTCTCAGTACCAATTTCTAAGTTCATTTAGGCTGTTATAACAAAATGCCGTAGACTTGGTGCCAGCAGATTCAGTGTCTGGTGAGGACCTGCTCCCTCTGCTTCAAAAATGATGTCTTGTTGCTGCGTCCTAACATGGCAGAAGAGGAAAAAAGGGACAAATACTCTCTGAAGCCTCTTTTATATGGGCATTAATCCTGTCCATGAGGGCAGAGCTCTTATAACCTAATAACCTCCTAAAGGCTTCCTCTTCTAAATCCATCACCTTGGTGATGAGGCTTCAACACATGAATTTTGGAGGGCCGCATACATTGAAACCATAGCACTCAGCAAGGCAAGATTATGGAAATACACAGCCCCTGGCTTCTCCCTTAGGATGGAAAGAGAAGACTGAAACATACTTCCAATATTCAGACATTTTGGAAAGCTGTTTGAGGGACGAGCTTCCGTTTATCCTGGCTCAGAGCACTGTTGAGACTGGCAAACTTTAGATATCTGAGGGTTTCTGAGATAAACAACAGAAAAACAGCTGGGTAGTATGCTAGTGCTTCAGAGGACTGCAGTACAACAGACAGAGAGCAGAGAGAAAAGAGATTATGAACTTCTAAAAAAAGAAACTGGGAAATCCTTCTAGTCATGATCTAGATACAAAAGTCCAAGGAAGTCATACCCATAGAAAAGATTTAAGAGGACCACAAAATCACTAGCAAGGCTAACTGGTGAAGGTCATCACCTATACAAAGTCAGGCTGTAAAGACTGGGAGAGACAGCTGATTTTTCAAATACACAGACCCTAACATAAAGGGTTAAGAGACACAAAGGAACAGGAAATCATGGCCCAAAGGCACAAAATGAATCCTCAGAAATGAAGGTGAATACAGAAATGAAGGACCATACACCATGAACAAGTGAGATTTATCTCTGGGATACAAGGATAGTTTAACACAGGTAAATCAATTAATGTGATTACCTGACAAAGAATTCATAATTATCATCATATATATATATACTCAAGTAGCTTAGAAAAATGATGCATGAACAAAATAAGTATTTCAACAATGAGATAGAAAATTGAAGAAAAAAACCCTAAAATTTTGAAACTGAAGAATACAATAAATGAACCAAAAAATTCACTGAAGGCCTTCAACAACAGACTTGAGGAAGCAGAGGAAGAGTCAGCACACTTGAAAATGGGTCATTTGAAATTATTCAGTTACAGGAGCTAAAAAAAAAAAAAAAAAAAAGTAAAAAGTAAAAACTTAAGGGGACCAATGGTACATACTACAATATACATGGTATATTGCAATGGCATCTCATAAGGAGAGAGAAAAAAATGGCAGAAAGTTTACTTAAAGAAATAATGACTGAAAACTTCCAAAATCTGAAGAAGGAAATAAACAGCCAGATTCAAGGAGTTCAAATGTCTTCAAATAGAATGACCCAAAGAAGTCTATACAGAGACACATTATAATCAGAGTCATGAAGGAATAGAGAATCTGAACATATCTATAGCCAATAGGGAAATTGAACGAGCAACCAAAAACCTCCAAAGAGAGAAAGCTCAGGACCAGAAGACTTCACCAGTGAATTCTACCAAACATTTAAAGAATTAATATCAACCTTTCATAAATGCTTCCAGAAAACAAAGTCAAAGAGGACACATTTTCAAACCTATTTTCTAGGGCCAGCATTACCCTGATAACAAAACCAGAAAAAGATATACAAGAAAAGAAAACTACAGTTCAATATACCTAATGAGCATAGATGCAAAAATCCTCAAAAAAAAAAAAGAAAGAAAAGAAAAGAAAAGAAAAAAAAAACTTGCAAAACAAGTTCAACAGCATAATAAAAGGACCATACACCACAACCAAGTGGGATTTACCCCTGGGATGCAAGGATGGTTTAACACAAGTAAATCAATTAATATGATTAATGGAATGAATAATGAAAATCACAAAAATATCTCAATAGACATAGAAAAAGGATTGGATAAATTCAACACTATTTCTGATAAAAACAATCTCAACCTAGGCATAGAGGGAACTTACCTCTACATAATAAAGGTCATGCATGACAAACCCACAGCTAACATCATACTCAACAGTAAAGTACTGAAAGCTTTTTTTCTTTTTATTTTTTGAGATGGAGTTTCACTCTGTTGCCTAGGCTGGAGTGCAATGGTGTAATCTTGGCTCACTGCAACCTCTACCTCCTAGGTTCAAGCAGTTCTCCTGCCTCAGCCTCCTGAGTAGCTGGGATTACAGGTATGTGCCATCATGCCTGGCTAATTTTTGTATTTTTAGTAGAGATGGGGTTTTACCATGTTGGTCAGGCTGGTCTCAAACTTCTAACCTCAGGTGATCTACCTGCTTCGGCCTCCCAAAGTGCTGGAATTACAGGCATGAGTCACCATGCCTGGCCTGAAAGCTTTTTTTTTAAGATGAGGAACAAGAAGAATGCCCACTCTCAGTACTTCTATTCAACATAGTACTTGAAGTACTGACTAGAGAAATTAGGCATGAAAAAGAAATAAAAGGCACTCAAATTAGAAAGGAAGAAGTAAAATTGTCTCTGCAGACTACATAATCTTATATGTAGAAAATCCTAAAGACTCCACACACACACAAACATTAGAAATAATAAATGAATCTAATACAGTTGCAGGATACAAAACAAACACATGAAAATTAGTGGTGTTTCTATACACTAGCAATAAACCATCTAAAGAAGAAATCAAGGAAACAACCCCATTTACAATAGCATCAAAAATAATAAAACACTTAGAAATAAACTTAACCAAGGAGGTGAAATATTTATACACTAAAACTACAAAACATTAATGAAAGAAATTAAAGAAGATAGAAATAAATGGGAAAATATACTGTGTTCATGAACTGGAAGACTTAATTAGTGAAAATTTCCATATTATCCACAGCAATCTATAAATTCAATGCTATCCCCCTCAATATTCCAATGGCATTTTTTTTTTTTACAGAAAAAAAAATCCTAAAATTCATATGGAACCCACAAAGGTCCTGAATATTCAAAGCAACCTTGGTAAAGAAGTACAAAGCTAGAGGAATCAAACTTACTGGTTTCAAAATAAATGTATTATAAA